CAAAATTATGAATTTTGTGTAATTTTGGGGAGTATCTGTTTTTTTGGTTGTATGGATTTTGTAAGCTTGTTTTTTAGCATTGAGGATTGAAATAGTGTGGGTAGTGGAGAAATACAGGATGTAATGGGAAAATTGTCACCATTTTATATTTTTAATTTCATGCATGCACATTGTTTTTTGTATTTTATTGATTGCACAGTATAGTAGGGTCAATTAAGCACCATCTGTTAGCAAAAGAGCACCATGACAGAATTCATTCTGCCAGAAATTTGGAAACAGCATGCTGTACTGCTTAGTATTTACACCAGAAGATCTAATACGAACATTTCAAAGTGTTTCTGTGTCAATTTGATAAATTCCGGCAGAGGATTCAAAAAGAGTTGGATAAGTCTAATGGTAATTACGGAGGTATGGCAGCTCAGAAAACTTACTGTGATCATTCTGATAAGAAAAGAACTCCCAAATTTGTTGTTGAAAGCCTCAAACTTAATATGGAGGCCTACATCAAGTGCCTTGAAGAGGTAGTACTGCCCTGGGTCAAGAGGGTGGCTGCTGGCAGTCCCTATGTCTGGCAACAGGACTTTGCACTATGCAATACAAGCAGGAGAACCCAGTCATAGCTATCAGACAATTTCTGTGACCATATTACCCCTTACATCTGGCCACCTAACTCTCCAGACTACAAACCCCTTGATTATTATGTGTGGTTGCAGTTGAGGGAGAGACAAAAAAAACTTCATGTAACACCAAAGATGAACTGAAGGCAAGGATTATGACAACATGCACCAACTTAAACAAGGAGACCATCCAGAAGAGTTGCAGAAGGTTCCAAAGTCGTCTGGAGGCCGTGTTTAAAGTCAATGGCAATTTTATTGAATAAATTTACTCTTTTTAGTATTTCAAGATATTTTTGTGCAATTTTGGTAAATATATCTGTTAAAAAAATTTTTGCGTAATTTAGACAACAATTTATCCATTGCACTCTGTGTTTTTATATATATATATCACACAAAGATGTCCAAAGAGTAAGGTACACATAGGTATACAGACATTGGAATTAAAACATTGTGAAAACTGTAAATGCACAACAAAAGTGGGGTATGGAATACTTCTTGCAACAGCCAGAACAGCCTTAATACTGAGCACATGAATATGTAATATGTCATAAGAAAGATGACTGCTACCAAACATAGAGGTGCTAGTTTTAATAAGATTTTTAACATGCTAATGATAAAAATCCATGTTTGGGTCAGAAAGTTACTAGATGAAGAACATAAGCTGATAGAGGACTTTCTGGAGTGCATTATTATCATGAGTGAAGAGGCCTGAGTATATAACATTAGTAAAAAGAAAAAGGTTAATACCACCAGCTGAAAGCATACATTCTTACCAAAAATATAAAGTTCAATCAGATGGTTTGAAATATTTGATAGACTGAGGGAAGTTGCTTGTCAACAGAGACCAGGAAATTTGCATAATAGTTTCTATCCTGCTACACATTACTCCACACAGCAAACCTGACAAGAGTGGGATGTTTGACAGTATAATCCTCTTCAGATTATTATCTTTTTGAGCCCTCAAATGGCATTTATCCAGAAAGCAGTTCTGCACAATGCTGTTACAATGGTTCAAGAGTTCATGCCACAGCCTTCAAGAAAGGTAATTATATATTTGTGCACCAATGAAACAACTACATTGAATCTTCATGGTGATTGCATGGGAAAGTAGCATAATGTGTTTATGTAAAAACATCCCCAAATCAACATGCAGACAACCACCAGACATAAATAATGCCTACTAGACACACACTTACAAATATACATTATCATCTGAATTCTATATAAACAAACTAAAATTATGATACACATAAATTATACACACAAATGTTGCTTGACAAGTCAAATGCATGTGAAGTCTGCTTAACAACTGAAAATCAAGCAACACAAAAATAAATATACCAAAATTTATTTTTCTCCATATCTCATTCTCTGATGAAGCTTTAATAAAAGCAAAACGTTACATTATAAACATTCGCTATTTGTTCTTTATCCTATCATTCTTTTAGATTCCTATATATATTTGATCTATATATATATATATATATATATATATATATATGTGTGTGTGTGTGTGTGTGTGTGCGCACAAGTAAAACAAGCATAGCAGCTTTTTGTATCTAAGTTTTGAATGTAGAAAATATTGTATAGTGTTAATAATTAATTATGAATATTTTACCTTAAACGTGGAACCAGGATATGCTTCAGTGAATTCAACCTAAAATGGGACACCATCAAAATAAACTGCCAAGAAATTGTACATTAGTGTATTAACATAAGTGTATATGCACATGCACATTAACAAGATTCAGAACATACAACAGACGTATTTCTAAACATAGCAATATAAAAAGAAAGAGAGAGTGAGGGAGGGAAAGAAATTCATCAGGTTAGATAAGGTCTGGGAAATTTGGGGGATATTAAAATGTTCAATGAAGATAAATTATTCTACAGATGGATGTTGGTACTATACCTATGTCCTAAACAATTAGTGGGGGGCACACAATTATTCATTAAAAAGAAAAAAAAAACAGCACTGAGATTTTGTTTGTTCTTTTCATAAAACAACTGCTGAACTGAAGCAAAACACTGTTTGTGAATATAACACAATTATAAAAGATTTACAAAGGGACAAAGCTTTTGATATTGCAGCATCAGATCAACAATAATTATTGATTGGGGTTATTTGAAAAAAGAACTGGTTTGATTAAGAGGAAAAAGAGTGAATGGGAAAGGAAGGAGGAGGAGAAGTAGAATGGGGAAACAGATGAGGAAGAGGGAAAAGAAATAAAGATGACGAGAGAGTCAATGACAAACAAATGAGGAGCTATGGATAAAGTCAATATGAAATAATTGATGAAGAGAAAGAGGGGAGAGTCAATGGGGAAACAAATGAGGAGGGAGAGCCAATGGGGAAACAAATGAGGAGGGAGAGCCAATGGGGAAACAAAAGAGGAGGGAGAGGGGACAGCGGATACGGAAACAAATGAGGAGGAAGAGGGGAGAGCCGATACGGAAACAAGTGAGGAGGAAGAGGGGAGAGCCAATGGGTGAAACAAATGAGGAGGAAGAGGAGAGAAACAATTAGAAGGTATAGAGAAGAGTTTACACAAAATAAATGAGAAGGAAGTAGTGAGAAACAATGTGAAACAAATGAGGAGGCATAGAGAAGAGTCAATGGAGAAACAAATGAGGAAGAAGAAGGGAGATCATATGGGAAACAAATGAGGAGCTAAAGGAGTCAATGTGAAATAATTGAAGTAGGTGAGTCAATTGGAAAAAATGAGGAGAAAGTAAGGGAGTTAATGGGAAACAAATGAACAGGAAGAATGGAAGAATCAATTAGAAACAAATGAGGAGGTGGGAGAGTAAATGTGAAAGAAATGACGAGGAAGTGAAGAGAGTTAATGAGAAAAAATTAGAAGAGAGACAATAAGAAAACAGAAAATGTTGTGGTAAAAGAATGGGTTAGGCAAAAAAAAAGAGTGAATGAACAAATACTAAATGTGACAGAGAGAGAGAGAGAGAGAGAAATTGAAATAAAATTAAATAATGTAGTAATAAAATCAAGGAGACTCTGAAGATATCATAGTTGACAAAGAGAGTGATGAAGAGAATGAAAAAATAAGAATGTGTGAAAGAAATGAAATGCTAAGCATTTTTCCAGTTCATCAATATTGAATGTTAGTGATTGTCAGTTAAGAGAATATAAAGCTTTCAAAAAACTTAGATGATCAGCTGTAAATCCTGTGACAATTAGGTGGGGTAGTTATTTTTATTTTATTGGTGAGTTTTTAATGAGAAAATTAGCCCATGTACATACATACAAAATAAATGGGATGGGAACTTAGGGTTCATAGGGAGAGAGTGAGATGTAGAAGAGAGAGGCATAAAAGATAAATTGAAAGACAGACAGAAAGAGAGTATATGAAAACAAATGATAAAGACAAGCAAAGATTATGAAAGAGAATAATCCAATTCAAAAGAAAGATACACACTTACATACACATTCAGAGAGAGAGAGAGAGGATTAGAGGAATGAGAGACAGAACAATAGAGTGGCAGGTTCATAATCAGAATAAGATGCCTGCACATAGACAAATATACTAAGAGAGAAATGGTCATATACTTAAAGTAAATGAATGACAGAGAAAAAGAGAGAGGTAGAGAGATAAATATAGTGGTGTGTGTGTGTGTATGAATGATACTATAGCAACAGGAGAGAAAGAAGAGTGTCATGACAGCTGGCAAGAAGACAGTAAAAGAAAAATAAATAAAAATAAACTAATAAAAATGTCTTCCATTTTTCTTATTGATCTCAATACAGACAAACAAGTATTGACAAAAGTGTATGTGTGTGTATGTAGAGTCGGGGGTCAAGGTGATGGAAGCCATATCCAGACCAGACCAGTAATTTGATCTCACTTGTCATTATATGCAACAATTTAAATAAGAGAGGATGGGAAGGAGTTTCAATTTACAAATGAATGTAGTGAATAAATGACAACTCAATAGGCATTTTGTTTTTAACCTACTTTACAAGTAAATATCAATAATGTTGACATAAACGTGTTCAGTTTGAACAAATTGGTGCTAAGTTTAACATTCATTTGGAAACAGTAAAGAGAAGTGGCACCAAAATAATTGATTAATGAATGAAGTTAATGTAGAAAACTTTCAATAACTAAACTTGATAAAGTGACAGGCCTAGAAATTTGAAAATAGATCATTTTATGAACTTTATTCTCTGATCCCAGACCAGAGTCTCTATCATGTCTAACGTTGTTTTATGTATAACAGCTTGTCACTGTATTTATCAAATTCAACCCTATCCAAACAAAAAGTCTATTACTTCTCAACCTTCCATAAAAATTGTATTTTTTCATATTGAATTTCCATTGAAAGAATTTTAAAAATGCTTTAAAAAGACCTAGAAAAGGATACAGGAACCAACTTCAAAGACATTATTGTTGCCAATAATCATCACTGGAATCTGGTTGTCTGTTGGAGAACCTTCTGGAAATCTGAAATGAAAAAACTATTTCTTTAATTTTTAGGTTTTACAAGTTCATTGCAATTCAGAACATTTTCAAAACATTTTTCTCATCTTTATTCAGTGCATTAACAAAAGGATATTAGCGTCAATGAGAGAAGTTCACTATACTGGAAACATATTCTGCTAAATTTACATTTACGTTTTAAGGCACTCATCAAATAGTAGGGAAGGGTTATAGTAAAACTAAATTTTTTATCTATGATAATCATGACACTGTAGGGCAGAATTTTCTAATACAGCTGTTTTCAAAAAAAAAAAAAAAAAAAAAAAAAAAGAAAGAAGATCAAGACCAACACATTGACAAAGGTTTTTATGATTGATTTGCTATTTTATGGCTTATCAACCTTTCACAGGTTATTTAAAACCAGAAAATATTTTTCAATTGTAAGAATCCTTTGGAGATAATGGTTTACCAATACAAGTCCTAGTAATTAACCCATAGCTGGATAGAAAAGAGTTGAATTCATACCTTTCTCAAGGGTATTTGCACATAAGTGAATATAACGTAACTGATTGGAATTGGAACTCAATTTTCCATTTTTCAATTTTGAGCCATTATACATTACATCAGACAGAGGCTGAGAGAGATAGAGAGAAGTTGTGTGAGAGAGAGACAGAGAGATAAGGAGAGGTTGTGAGAGAGAGGGAGAGATTCTGGGAATTATAATTTAGTTCCTAAACTTTGTAAGCTCAGAAGGTCTCAACTGTTGAAGACTTTCTTGCAAATCCTACTACAGATGAATTACTACTGATAAAAATTAAAAATAATATTCTGTACACACATTACTTATGCACAATTTTATGAAAGAGTATATCTATCCAATACACCACTCACACATCCAAGCTTACAGCACCAGGTATTCCAAAGTGGTCACCCATGTAAATACTGGCAGCTAGGCTCAATATTGCTTAACTTCATTGATCATACAGGAACCAATGTTTCAATATGATGTGGCCATAAGTCCCTGCAACTTTATTCAGGGTATGTCAAACTAAACACTTTATTTAATCTACAGGAGTAGACTGTTCTCATTTCTATGTCTATACCTAGAATTATCTGGTCTTGCTCATTTTAGAACAATAACCAAGCAGAAGTAGTTATCCCTAGACATGGTCAGTAGATGAAAGCTGCCCCCACAATAAGGAAGGTAAAATAATTTTTTCAAGGGAGATAACTACTAAATGCTAAGTTTATCCCATATTTATTTATTGGAAAAAGTTCATTCTTGTCACATGCATTGATGTTCTCTTGAAGACAACTGACCCAAATGTCTAGTTAATTCTAAAAGTGTAAAGACTAAGTAACATAAACTGGATTAAAACTATAATGGAATATCTGTAAATATTATTAATTTTAGCTCAACGACTTCCTAGAAAAAGCAGTTAAAGATTGAATACAGAAATTTTAAATGATTATTATAACAATGTTCTCTTAGTTTGAGTGCATTAATAATGTAGAAAAAAACATTGATGCTACATTTTCCTTATGGAAATTATGTGAAGAAACTGTCATAATGAAGAAAAGAAAAAAGATTAAAAATAAGCTCAATTCTTATTTCAAGATCATAGTCTGGGACATATGAGGAAAGAGGGTTTGGAGAATTTGACACTTACAGGACGTATTGAAGGAAACAGGGACAGAAGGAAACAGTGAGTAACCTAACGAGCTTGTAATAATGAATCTCAGATCAGGAAGTAGGGAAGGATAGTAAAATGTAAACATTGCAAAGAGATACAAAAAAAAACAATGTTATGAAGAGCAATGATCACTAACATCCTAAATGGATGGCACATAGAAGAAGAAAAGGTTGAATAAGAAATCAATCTGTTTCTTTAACAGAATATTGCTACTATGAATTCCAATGTAAAAATCCATGCAATATGAACAAATACTTTTTCAACATTGGCACAAAAAACAAAGCAAAAGAAACATTACAACTCACCTGTTGATGATCTGAACTCCTTCTTCAATCAAGTTATTCTCACCAATAATAATAGGACCTGCTTCTGCTATAATTTTGGCTCGTGGATGGATAATTGTTCTGCTACCTGCAAGAATTTTTAAAAAAATATTTAAAAGTGAAGTTTTACAATCACTTTCCCTATTTCATTACAAGTACCTTTTTATTAAGACAGATTTTTCTCGATTTAGTAATGAAATCATTGAAATAAAACTATTCTTTCATAATTTGATATTCTCCAATCATGTACATCAATACATGTAGATAACTGTTTTAAACAAGCACAAACAATATGTATAGACAGCAGTTTAATTTGGTCAAGTCTATGCTTTACTTACCCTTGACTATTATTTATGTTTGCCAAGAAAAGTTACACATGTAGATGTTATATCAGTACAATGCTATTATTGCTACAGCTGGTGCCATTTCACAAACATTACAAATCATGCAATACTTACCTATTGATATATCCCCTATCAGGTCACATTCTTTACAAACAATTGCCATTGGAGCAATTTTGATGCTGTAAGTAAAAAGAGCATAAAAAAGAAAAAAATTGTTAAATTTATAAATCAAAATGAAAACAACATAGATAAGATTTTTGATTAATAAAAAATTGTACAAGACAGGGTAAGATTGAATTTTTTATTTTTTACATTTGATGTAAATCTTCCTGGGTTTTAGTGTATCAAATCAAAATTGTGAATTTTTATTCAATTAGTATATAGAAAAGACACTTTTTAACAGTCAAACTTCAAATTATAAATATTATTATAGAGTAAAGATTCATTATTATTGATAAGGAAGATAATATAGTGTTATTGTTAAAAATACTATTCATTTTCTCTGAATATCTTATTTTCAAACCAATTTGTTTTTAATTGTTCACTGGGACTTGTTTTTATTGTTTCCTAAATGACAATGAATGTCTCAAAAATTGTGCATCCAAAATATGAGATCAGGTAAAAATGAAGCTTTAACTTACAGATTCACATGTAGTTATAAATGCATGGTATTATCCTTTAACATACAACAGCTATGTAACAATTGTTAAAAACATTGTCGGTGGAAGCGGGTGAAATTTCAAGGGAGACAACTATTGATATAATTTTTCCTTCTTTCAATGAGAAATTTTATAAAATTCACTTAAATGATTAATTTTAATATAAATTTTTTTAATTTTTTTTTTATTTAGATACATCAATATTTTAAAGAAACCTACCAATATTATTACATTTTAAGATTAATCTACATGCTTATACGTGGAGTTTAAGCTTATGCTTTGGTTCTATTTTTGTCAAAATATGGTTATCAAATTTTACAGAGATTTTCTAAAAAAACACATTTATATTATACACTTAGATATTATGCAGGCTTTACTTGTGCTAAAAGTGGAAATTAAGTCCATGACTTACATTATACTGTCAAAAGAGATTACTTATTTTAAAAAATATTAAGAACTAATTAATTAAAAGTGTAGGGGTGGGAACCTCCAATTTGTATCTCATTTTATACCAGAATATAAAGAATATTTATTTTTTATAAGTAAATTAACAAAAACCATTTTCTTCCTTTTTTGTGGTTATTCAAAAGTATGCTAACTTGTGAAAGAAGCAATTTTTCTCAAGAATGGAGAAATGTTTCTTTTGCAAGTTGGTATATTTCTGAAGAGTAAAAATATCAAAGAATTGAATGAAAATGGTTAATTCATAAAAATAATAGTAATAATAATAATAATAATTAACTTTCAATTACCAACATTACAAAAAATGATGTCATTTAGCATCCTCCATAATTTCCTGTTCTTTCATAATGTTGAAAGTTTTTTGAATATTTTGAAAAGTTCTCAAATTTTAATTTGAACACATCCTTTTCAACAATCCTTTTAGTTATTTACATGCAGAATATCATGCACATCTTTGTTGTTATTATCACAATGTTTCCTATTGTGCCCCATGGCCTTCATCAAGTGATTATCAAATGTTTGGGGTGTTTCACTATATAGTATCTATCTATATTTCTGAGATGAGGTATTACGTACATTATTTACATTATTCGGACTACTGTCCTCATCTTTGTCGCCATAGTTATTACAACGTTTCGGCCGTTGTACGCTCTGGCCTTCTTCAGGTGGTTGGAATGTTGAACTTAACCCTTTATTTCACTCACTGGGGTAGACTGTTCTAGTTCCACGTGCCATGTTTAATGGATGTCAGTTATCAGTTATCTCCTGTTAATTTCCTTCTGAAAGTTCTCCACTGCCTTAACTGGGTATTGAACTCACACTCTTTGGATCCTGTCACTGGATCTAACCAACGCCTTTATCCACTGTGCCATGTGTCCTTTTTTACTTTCAGAATTTTTTATAGAATTTAAAAACTGAAACAATTCCACATTCTAAAAAATTCCTGATGAAGCAAAATAAATAGCAAAACTTGATAAATTTATAATGGCTTTTAACTATTTGTCAGATAAGAGAGAGATAGGAAGAAAAAAATTAAAATTCTGGAAGGAAGGAGGAGAAGAACAATAATCAATTCTATTTGAATGCAGACTTCATTCAAACCAAGGAGAAGCTAAGTTTCACTTTATCTTACTGTCCAATGACTTGAATGCTAATTCACCATTCCTCAATTTTAGTCATTTTCTATACTCACCACTTGTATCAAATGGCATATAAAGCTCCACCTCCATCAAAATTCACATTCAATATTACAGTATAAGTTTACTGATGCCATTAAAATTGACGGCATATCTTGTTAAAGTTTTACTATGAATAGGTTTTCATATAAGACTTTGAATAGATTACTTTTAAATAATTCTTGCTGTGTTTTGCCCTTTTAAAGTCAGTCTTTTCACCTTTTGCTCAGTAAAGATCTTTGAACCTACCATTGTTATAACAAAGATACTGCCACCTGACATTGTCAGTGTAGTACAGCAGTAGAACAGTACCATGGTACAGATATTTTGAACAAAAAAAATATACAAATACATAAGGCATATTATACATCTTTTATATGTCGTGTTCATACAGGAGGACAGATATTACGCAGCAATTCAGTTCTCTTTTCTTTGTTTCCAACAAAACTTTCCCATCTCGTAATACCCTGCTTAGCTTTTGGAATGCATCTTTGGCCATCTCAATGTTTTCAGATCTTAGTGTCGCACTTTCCATATCGTCAAAACATTTCCCAGATATTTAAATTTCTGTACCCACTTTATTTTAGTGTCCCCAACCCATAAATAGCATTTTGGGCTCATCTTTTTGCTGATGACCATGCTTTCTGTCTTTTTGTAGTTTATATTTAGTCTCTTCTTCTCGCTCTCTTCTATGGGAGATTTTGTAGTTTCCTTTCCAGGTTTTCTATCAGCACTGTGTCATCTGCGTTATCTTATATAAGAATGTGGCCACCAATGATGAATCCTGATAGGATTTCCAGTTCTCTCAGAATTGCCTCAGTTGAACGTCTGGTGAGAAGACATATCATTTCTATTTTTGTATATCTGCTGAACTCATTCTTTACCCATATGCAGGCGGTTTTCTGCCAGTAGAGATTTTTTGATTATTCTGATGTCTTTCCCAAATATGTTAAGGTTACTGAGTAGCTCTAACAGATCTTTGTGGTGTACTTTGTCAAACAACTTTGTATAGTCTATAAAACAGGTACACATTCTTCTACATTTGTATTGTGCTTTCTGATAACATTCTGAGCATAAATACCATGTTCCTTGTTCTGATGTCTTTAACGAACTCGCATTGTTCTTGTCCTATCTCTGGGTTGATTTTGCTGCACACTATTTATCAGAATTCGGATGAGGACTTTTGTTATGTGACTCATTAGGTTAATTGTTCGATGGAGTTCACATTTGTTTGCACCTGATTTCTTAGGCAGTGCTATGAAAATAGATCTGCTTAGATATTCCAGTATATCACCAGTATTATAAATTTCATTTATTATTTCTGTAATCTTGTCTATCTGAAATCATCTAAGTCTGTCAGCATCTCTATTACAATTCCATCTGGCCCTGCCACTCTGATTCCATTCAATTTGGTTAGTGCAGCTTCCACTTCAGTTTTTAATATTTTCGTCCCATCAGAAATACTAAAAATACCGTTGTTTTCTTTCGTCATAGAAGAGATCTCCAATATATTTATTTCAGCAGCTAAGAATTTTTTCTTTCTATAATATGAGCGTTCCATCCTTGGATCTTATGCAGCCTGTTTATGAGCATTTTTTCTGTCCTGTTAGTTCCCTTATTTTTTATGCATGTCTCCTTTATTTGTGATAATCATTCTCTCTATTTCTACCCATTTTTCATTAAGCCATTCTTATTTAGCCTGCATTTGATCCTTATTTCATCATGTATTTTTCTGTATTCCATTCCATGTTTTGGCATTGTTTTTTGTCTCCTTTGCATCATTTTGAGAATCTCATTTGTGATCCATTTGTTTTTTCTTCTTCATCGATTCTCCTTTGGGATGATGTCATTCGCTGATGTCACTAAAGCTTCTCTTAGTATGTCCCATTTCAAGTTTCCATTTTCACTTTTGTCCCTCACATCTTCTTTTCACACTGTCCATATATTTTTCTTTCAGGTACAGGTCATTCAGGAGTCTTTTGTTTTTAAATTTGGGCAATGGGTTAGGCTTCTTCAGTTTCCATAGTTTTATTTTTAGTTTACATATAATAGGAACATGGTCACTTTTGCTTGGATAGGTTTTGCAGTGAATAACTGAATTTCTGAATTTTTTGTTGATAGTTATGTAGGCAATTTGGTTTTTAGTGTATCCTCCTGGACTTCTCCATGTCCATAATTGTCTTGGATGTTCTTGCAACCAGGTGTTGGCTATTACCTGGTCATTGGGGCCATGTACCATTAGACCCATTTTCTCTACATTTGCTGTGGGTTCCTAGTTCAAATTTACCAGCTATCTCCCATACCTTCTCCCTGCCAACTTTGACATTCAGGTCTCCCATGATAATTATAACTTCTCGTGATTTGTATTGAGCCTCGTCATTGTCTAGCATGGAGTAGAAAGATTTGATTTCTTCTTCTGTACTTTGTGCTGTCAGTGCATACACTATTATAATAGGTATGTTGAAAGATTTTCCTTTCAATTTAACTACAAGAATTCTTTCAGATAATTGACAGTATCCCAGAATGCATTTCTTGATGTCTTGATCTAGTATCACGCCAACTTCTTTTTCATTTTTCACTCAGCCTACATATATAATCTTGTCGTTGTCACTGATAAAATCTCCATTGTTTCACTACCTAGTTTCACATACAGCTAAAATGTTGAAATTGGCATTTGTGCTGAAGCTCCAATACAAACATTTCAAAGTGTTTGGGTGTCAATCTGAGGGCAGTACAGTGGATTCAGAAAGTATTGGATGAGTTTAATGGTGATTACAAAAGTACAGCATCTCGGAAAACCCATTCTGATCGTTCTGTTAAGAAAAGATCTCTCAAATTTGTTGGTGAGGGCCTCAGACTTAACACAG